GGCAACAGTGGGGGTTTCCATCCCCTGGGATCCAGTAAATCTGGTCTAATGGTTCTAAGAAATGGTATGTAGGAGAAGAAATGAGGTCACAAATCGTCAGACACGATTGAGCGACTGAACAACAACAGTCTACATTAGAAATGCTACACTTAAATAAAAATCTATGGTATTAACTTAGTAGGCATCAAAGACTTAAATTTGCACGTGGACAAAGCAATAATCTTTATTGCATTGTAGGAAAATATTTGATCAAAACTTTAGTAAACAGCGCCATAGTGCTCTGGTCTTGATGTTGGTTGCTTCTATTCTAGTTTTGGAAATCGTAGAAATAGCTTGTACACAGAAATGAAAGGAATATGTCTGCTCAGGGTGATCTCTTTTCTACAATCTGAGTAAGGTTTGTTGTTTTAAAACCAACCATATCGCAAAAAGAAACCATGATCAAGAGGTGCTCATAGTGGTGTCATTAACATAAGAGTTCCCCAAGCATTTTTTTAAACACCTCCACATAGAGTCCAATGCCAAGCATCAGGGCCAACACAGCAGAGATCTGAATAGGAGTGTTATTTGCCTCAGATGGCCTCAGAAGAGCTACCAGTCAGCTGGTGGTGGAGGTGGCCATAATACCGAGTCCAGTGAATAAAAGACCAGGGTCTTGAGGCTTTATAAATGTACACACTTGCTATGGTTGCCTATTTGCACAACTGCCCAGAAGCCAAGAAGCTGGTCTATTAATTTGGGGGAATTTATTGCCACAGAGATAAAAAGTCTAATCTGAAATATTCTCTGGTCATTCAGTCCCTAAAGAAACACCACCACAGTTCTAAAGCACCAATTCTTCAGCGCTCAGCTTTCTTCACAGTCCAACTCTCACATCCATACATGACTAATGGAAAAACCATAGCCTTGGCGAGATGGACCTGTGTCGGCAAAGTAATGTCTCTGCTTTTGAATATGCTGTCTCGATTGGTCATAACTTTCCTTTAAAGGAGTAAGTGACTTTAAATTTCATGGCTGCAGTCACTATCTGCAGTGATTTTGGTGTCCCCCAAAATAAAGTCAGCCACTGTTTCCCCATCTATTTGCCATGAAGTGATGGGGCCAGATACCGTGATCTTAGTTTTCTGAATGTTCAGCTTTAAGCCAACTTTTTCACCTCTCCTCTTTCACTTTCATCAAGAGGCTCTTTAGTTCTTCTTCACTTTCTGCCATAAGGGTGGTGTCATCTGCATATCTGAGGTTATTGATATTTCTCCCAGCAATCTTGACTCCAGCTTGTGCTTCCTCAAGCCCAGCATTTCTCATGATCTACTCTGCCCATAAGTTAAATAAGCAGGGTGACAATATACCGCCTTGAGGTACTCCTTTTCCTATTTGCAACCAGACTGTTGCTCCATGTCAAGTTCTGACTGTTGCTTCCTGACCTGCATATAGGTTTCTCAAGAGGCAGGTCAAGTGGTCTGGTATTCCCACCTCTTTCAGAATTTTCCACAGTTTATTGTGATCCACAGAGTCAAAGGCTTTGGCACACCAATAAAGCAGAAATAGATGTTTTTCTGGAACTCTCTTGCTTTTTCAGTGATCCAGCAGATATTGGCAATCTGATCTCTGGTTCCTCTGCCTTTTCTAAAACCAGCTTGAACATCTGGAAGTTCACGGTTCACGTATTGCTGAAGCCTGGCTTGGAGAGTTTTGAGCATTAGTTTACTAGTGTGTGAGATGAGTGCAGTTGTGCACTAGTTTGAGCATTCTTTGGCATTTCCTCTCTTTGGGATTGGAATGAAAACTGACTGTTTCCAGTCCTGTGGTCACTGCTGAGTTTTGCCAATGTGCTGGCATATTGAGTGCAGCACTTTCACAGCATCATTTTTAGGATTGGAAATAGTTCAACTGGAATTCCATCACCTCCACTAGCTTTGTTTGTAGTGATGCTTCCTCCTAAGGCCCACTTGACTTCACATTCCAGGATATCTGGCACTAGGTGAGTGATCACACCACCTTGATTAACGTGGTTGTGAAGATCTTTTTTGTATAGTTCTTCTGTGTATTCTTGCCACCTCTTCTTAATATCTTCTGCTTCTGTCAGGTCCATACCATTTCTGTCCTTTATTGAGCCTATCTTTGCATGAAATGTTCCCTTGGTATCTCTAATTTTCTTGAAGAAATCTCTAGTCTTTCCCATTCTGTTGTTTTCCTCTATTTCTTTGCATTGATCACTGAGAAAGGCTTTCTTAACTCTCCTTGCTATTCTTTGGAACTCTGCATTCAAATGGGCATATCTTTCCTTTTATCCTTTGCTTTTTGCTTCTCTTCTATTTACAGCTATTTGTAAGGCCTCCTCAGACAGCCATTTTGCTTTTTTGTATTTCTTATTCCTGGGGATGGCCTTGATCCCTATCTCTTGTACCGTTTCACGAACTTCTGTCCATAGTTCATCAGGGACTCTGTCTATCAGGTCTAGTCCCTTAAATCTATTTCTCACTTTCACTGTCTAATCATAAGGGGTTTGATTTAGGTCATACCTGAATGGTTTAGTGGTTTTCCCCACTTTCTTCAATTTAAGTCTGAATTTCGCAATAGGGAGTTCAGGATCTGAGCCACAGTCAGTTCCTGGTCTTGTTTTTGATGACTGTATAGAGCTTCTCCATCTTTGGCTGCAAAGAAGATAATCAATCTGATTTTGGTGTTGGCCAACTGGTGATGTCCATGTGTAGAGTCTTCTCTTGTGTTGTCGGAAGAGGGTGTTTGCTATGACCAGTGCGTTCTCTTGGCAGAACGCTATTAGCCTTTGCCCTGCTTCATTCCATACTCCAAGGCCAAATTTGCCTGTTACTCCAGCTGTTTCCTGACTTCCTAATTTTGCATTCCAGTCCCCTATAATGAAAAGGATATCTTTTTTGGACATTAGTTTTAAGCGGTCTTGTAGGTCTTCATAGACCTTCAGCTTGTTTAGCGTTACTGATCCGGGCATAGACGTGGATTACCATGATACTGGATGATTTGCCTTGGAAATGTACAGAGATCATTCTGTAGTTTTTGAGATTGTACCTAAGTCCTGCACTTTGGACTCTACTGTTGACTATGATGGCTACTCCGTTTCTTCTAAGGGATTCCTGCCCACAGTAGTAGATAAAATGGTCATCTGAGTTAAACTCACCTATTCCAGTTCATTTTAGTTCACTGATTCCTAGAATGATGGCGTTCACTCTTGCCACCTCCTGTTTGCCCACTTCCAATTTACCTTGATTCATGGACCTAACATTCCAGTTTCCTATGCAATATTGCTCTTTACAGCATTGGACCTTGCTTCTCTCACTGGTCACATTCACAACCAGGTGTTGTTTTCGTTTTGGTTCCATCCCTTCATTCTTTCTTAAGTTATTTCTCTACTGAACACTGAGGTGATTGGCTTACAACAATTCATTAAGTTCTACCTCTGTTGAAGGTGTTATTCTATACATGTGAGTATTCACCAAATAAGAAAAAATAGATAAAAAATATTTATATGAAGAAACTTACACATAAATATGGAACATATAGATACATACAGAGTTTATACAAAAAACAGCAGGTGAAACTAATGCTAACTGTATACAACCAAACAGCACTCTGGGGTCCAGGATGACATCCAGGTGCAGGTCTTCAGGGATGCAGAGCAGAGCCTGCAACACCAGCACAGGTGAGGAGTCCCTGGGAGGTGCACAGTCAGACAGCAGAGGGCGCCCTGGGGAAGGAGTGCAGGACCCAGAGGACTTCCCAGGATCTAGACTTGGCTTTGGGGCTCAGATCTACAGAGCACAGGGCCTGTTTGCTGCTCTTTGCTAAGGGCATTGTCTGTTAGTGGGAAGTGTCTAGCAACGTCCCACAGAAGCAAGTACACCTGTGCATCTGGCTGGCAACCCTCAACTGATGGGTTCCCTGGACAGTGAGACTCAGGCAGAAGAACAGGGGACTCTGGGATCCAGGACTAAAAGCTTGCCCCCTCCCCTCTTTTCCTCTAGGCCCTGGGAAGAGCAGGAGGCCAGATGACACAGTGGGTAGGAGAACATGCTTACCCATCCTACATTCAGTACAACTGCTTCTGAGACCTCAACATTGGAAATGGAAAGATACCTGGAGTTTCAATATTCCCTAATAATTCCTTCTAACCTACAAACGCTCCTGAGATTTATGATTTTAAACTGCTATTATGTTGTTGTAATTTTAAAAAAGGACATTTTAATTGTGTAGCATATTATAACATTGAAATCTGAGAGAACACACTGCTTTTTAAACTGTAATATATCAAAATATGTTATTAATGACCGAACGGGAAAAAAATAAAAAAATAAAAAGAACATGAGTAACTTGAATCCTGCCACTCATCCCAAGTGTGCTGCTCATTTGCTGCAGTCATGTCTGACTCTGTGCAACCCTATGGATGATAGCCCACCAGGGTCCAAAGTCGCTGGGATTCTCCAGGCAAGAATACTGGAGTGGGTTGCCGTTCACTTCTCCAGGGGATCTTCCTTACCCAGGGATCGAAGCTGAGTCTCTTGTGTCTCTTGCCTTGGCAGGCAGGTTCTTCACCACTAGCAGCACCCTCCCAAGTTGCACCTGGCACTAAATTGCATTCTGGTATTCTTTAGTTGGAGTTGTACACATACAGAGAAGAATCTGCAGAACCTCCAACTTCAGCTTGAGGGATGGTGCCCTGAGGTGACCCAGGACCCTGGGGTTCCAGAACCTGAGGGACCCCAGACTCGGGCACCCCCCGGGCTGGCTGGGACCCTCAAGACCAGGGAGCACCCACAGGGGTGTGGAGATGCCAGGGGACCCCCTGCCTGCACGAGCTCTGGGAGCCTGTGTCTCCTTCACTCTGTTCCCAGGAGCCCAGCACTGGGGAGGGAGGGGCCACCCCAATCTCTCTGCAGCTGGTGATGAACCAGGGGTGCCCCCTGCTGCCCTTATGGGGTCAGGGGGCAGAGCTGCATCTCCCCTGCAGAGGGAGGCGAGGAAGCCCCCGGCGGGGACCTTCCAGGAGAACACGCTGGGGCAGCCGCTCCTGGACTCCTGCGCACGGCGGCCCTCAGTGCACCCAGCCTCTGGAGCAGCCAGCCCAGCAACCTCGGGGGCGCCTGTGCACGGGACCTGTGCCCGGGGAGACGTGCTCAGGGCATCCTCCACTTATCTGTGTGGATCATTACCACCTCTTGTCTGTACTATTTTGGTCACATTCAACAGGAGATCCCAGGGGTTTTGCTGGTGATTCTGAAGCACCAGCAAGTGAGTTCAGGACATGATGCGGACATGTGCCCTCTTTGGCCTCACCTTTTCATCCCATGCCCTTCATTCACACTTGCTCTTCCAGGTCTTCATCATCACCAAAGACATCCCACAAAGCATCCCTCAAAAAGATGAGCAGAGAGTTTTCTGATATCTGGAAGGAAGAGATCAGTCAGGCAGCTCCAATCCCTCCCAGGGCAGGAAAGCAACCATATGGGGTAGCCCAGGGCAGTGCAGACTTCATGGGGCCTGTTGAGATGTGTGGGTCCAGACTTACTGATTCCAGCCTCAACTCCTGCTCAGGCAACTCATGGTGACAAAGCCAGGTTCAAGGGTGCAGACATGAGGTCAGGAGCGAGGACAATGCTAAGAAAGTGGAGGAAGAGAGCTGCGGACAGATTTCATAGATTTTATATAAGGTCCCAGGAACCCAACTGCCTATAAGAGAACTGGTCCTCCAGAATGGTAATCATTAAAAGATGCAAAGAGTAGATGGGAAAGGGTTACAAGGAAGAATCTATGGACCAGAAAAAGAGAAAAAAAATTAACGGATATGAAAGAAGAAATAAATGGTCACTCATTAATACAGGCCAGAACCTGGTGGGCTGGAATCGATGAAAAGAGAGAGAGAGAGAGAGAGAGAGAGAGAGAGCAGTATCTCGCGGGTTACATGGAATACCAACGTTCACAGGACTTGTACCACTCATGAAAGCACAGGGCATCCTCTCAAGGAGGTCTTGAAAGCCCGGGCAAGAAAGTGAGCTCGGTAGGTTTCCACGCTCTGCCGAGAATGAAGACAGAAAGAAGGCCACAGGGGACCCAGGTCTTGAGTGGAGCAAGGGTATTTTATTAGCAGAAATACAGGCTTATATATCTTTAGTAAAATGTTTACTTAGCCATTACAAAGAATGAAATTCCATCAGTTACAACAAAATGGATAATCTAATACATTTAAGTCCGCTGACGTTGAAAAGAGTCACTGAAGGGAGTTACTTGAAGGAATCCAAGCAGGTACCCCTTCCTGTGATCTCAGTGATGAGAACTGTGTGCAGCTCCACTCATTCCCCTAATAGGAACTGATAAGGAACAGACAATCCTTGAGAAATGGCACACAAAGAAAAAAAAATGCAACTTACTGGATTCTGTAAAGTTGAACGTCCCCTGACAGTAAATGACTTCCATATTCTTGCTCTTCTGCTCCAATTCTTCATTATCTTCCATTCAGTTTTCTGGTGTTGCCAGGCAGAACTCCTGTGGAATGGCTGTGGGAAAGCAAAGGGGAGATTTAGAGTCAGGATGTGACCAGGGGACTGTGGTGCCCTTGTCTCCAGGGAACTCCCAGGGCCTTGGTGTTTCACCTCTTCAGTGAAAAAGTGGACCTTTGACCTCCAACATCCTGTTGCCACCCTCAACTTGCCTATGTGTGACCAAGAATGAGGCTGTGCCAATCTGTTCCTCCTCCAGGTGGTCACTGTCTCCATGCATCTCTGCCCACAACCTTCCTTGCCTCCTTCTCCTGCTGCTTCTTCTCTAATTGCTTCCTTATTTCTCTCCTCTAGTCACTGTTACTTTACTTCCTCCTTCAACCTCTAGCAACCCTAGAGTTTGCAATGTGGACACATTAGAAGGAGGAACATCGGTGTATGGCCACTGTCTCCAATCAGTCCATTACTCAATTAACCAATACATTTCTCCAAGGGAGGAGCTGGCATGGACTTGAGAGTGTGTTGAGCCCTGGGGGAGGGAAGGACAAAAATTCCACATAACAGAGACTCTCCCGTTGCCTGGGGTGACCTGAGTTACCTGGGAGATGCTTAATGCTCACAGCAACACCTCAAGTTTCACAGACCCTTAGAAAGGATAGAGGCAAACACTTCCAATTTCATTTAGCCAGAATAATGTGACAAGGGTCCTCCATAAACATGTGGTAGCTGCCGGGTTTGCACTGAGACTTGGAAAATTGGGAGGGATGAGACTTGGGAAGGTGTAAGGAAAGGAGAGAGGATGGGGCAGGCCTGGGTTGGGGAGAAGGGGCAAGACTGTCTGGATGCAGCAGTGGGTTCTGAGAGTAGCAGTGACCCCAGGACCTGCTGCCCTGGGAATGCCCAATCCTAGGAGACCAGGTCAGCAGGGCTGTGAAAGCAAGTGTGTGAGGAAGCCCCGTGGGCCCTTCACAGACTCTAGAATCTGCAGATGGGGAGGGTCTCCAGGAGCAGCAGGACATGGACCTCTCACCCGGAAGCACCTTCAGCACATCAGCCTTGGCTGCTGCAGAGGCTGTGAAGAGCCCCAGGAGACCGGGCCCGGGCAGGGACCCCAGAGCCTGTGTGCTGTGACTCATCCACCCCCGGCAGCGCCCTTTACACGAGGAATTAACAGTGAGGACAAACATGAGGGGAAGTCACAAGTCCTGAAAGTGCAGGAGGAGAGAGTTCACATCGCACCCACCACCTCACAGGCACTGCAAGGACGTGGTCTCCAGTGTCAACTGACAATGAGAGTTTTGTGCCCACTAGGATATGGTCCTCATAGTTCAACATGCAATAGAAAACAGCCTGCAGTGCACAATACCCGAGATGTGCTGACCAGAGACCAGGTTTCCATATTAGTAAAAAAGCAGAAACGAGCAGCTCTTATAGGAAAAATGATTTTTGAAGAGTAAAGCAACAAAAGCTGATTAGAAATAGAGCACAATGCAAGTCCAGGACACAATTTCTCTATCATATCATTTCATATGTAAAGAATAAGTCAGAATTCTATACACATTTCCTTCTTAATTTCATGTTCACTTTTCTTAGCCACCAAACAGAGAGTTTAACTCTGGGGTTAACAGAGGGTTTAACTTCCAGAACCCTCTCCCATCAGATCCCAACGGAATCTTGTTAGCTACCTGTCTCCCCTTTCTCATCACTGCACCAAATGCCCTCCACAGTGCACTGCATGAGCAAAAAGGTGGTTAGAATGAGCAACCCACCCACATATCCTCCAGTTGAGGCCTGCTGGATCTCACAGCATCACCTTGACCTTTTTCCCAAGGTCCTGAAGAGACACCCCACTGTGGATAGCAGATGGCAGTCATCTGTGCTCTGTGCAGTCACAGTCATTCAGTAAGTCACTGATATCAGTTGCAAACCTAAAGACAGAGATGCTGAAAAAGTCAATTCTCAACCTCTCACTTCTACATGTCCACTAGAGCTCTCACCTTCATGCTAACCATCCTGAAATCACAAGTGTTTTGACACATGTATAACATGCCTTTAAGTAAATTATAGCAGTCACAACTCGCTAGTGCCTACCAACTATAATACACAAAAGCCACTATATATGTTTATATATGTGTGCGGATAACTCATGCAGTCGATTTCAGCACTTTGTGAGCCCAGGGACTAGCCTGCCAGGGCCGTCTGTCATGGAATTCTCCAGGCAAGAGTACTGGAGTGGTTAGTCACTTCCTTCTTCAGGGGATCCTCCTGACTCAGGGTTCTAACCCAGGTCTTCTGGATTGCAGGTGAATTCTTTATTGTCTGAGTCACCAGGAAAGACTGAATGAATCTTCAGATCATCACCACGAGTCCTGCCGATTCTGACAGATGACGGCAGAACAGGAACTTTGGTACAAGTGAAGGTGTTTCCCAGGTGGCTTAGTGGTAAAGAATTTGCCTGCCAATGCAGGAGACGTGGGTTCAATCTCTGGGTTGGGAAGATACTTTGGAGGAGGAAATGACAATCCAGTTCAATATTCTTGCCTGGAAAATAGCATGGACAGAGGAGCCTGGTGGGATATAGTCCATGGAGTCACAAACAGTGGGGTCATAACTAAGTGACTGAGTATGCATGGATATATACAGGGTGTTAACACCCCTCTCTTGTTATTTCCTTTGTGTTTTCTGGCCATTTCAAGATGACTGTTTGCTGTTAAATTAACAAAGAAAAGACCTCTGACGCATGAGAGCATTTAGCCTGAGGGGCTAAGAGAGATGTGGCCCTTTTCTGGTTTCCATGGTAATCAATGGGCCAATCTGCTGTTCATTCCCACTGTAACTGGTAGACTCCTTATCCCCTCAGAGTAAAGAAAACTATAGCTGCTGTCTTCTGCCTGTTCCCTGCTATCCACAGTGGGTGTCTCTCTGAGAGGGTAACAGGCAGGAAGGCCAGGGGTCTCCAAACAGAGGAAATAGGCTTCAAGTGTCAGACATTTTTATCTCTCTCTTAAGCGGCAGGAATGATGCTTTTTTTTCCCCCCTTTTCTATACAAATTTAAAAGGAGATTTCTCTTAAAATACTGTGTTGCCATAATGACACCTGGTTCCACCTGAAGTTAACTATTCTCAAACCTTGAGTTAACCAATGCACTCTTCTTATGGAAATGTTTGTCTTAAGCTATGTTAATGTGCTATGCCTTTACCCCAAACTCTGTCTTGAAGTCCATTCTGCCTAATGGTTCAGAACCTACTTGACAAACCATTATGTTATATTCAGACATTGTTCCCCTAATCTATGTAAACGAAACTATTTGTATGGTAATCTGCCTGTCTACAGGATTCAAGTCAATCATTTTATGGCCTGGGATGACTCTTCCGGTGCCAAGATTATCCCAAAATACATCTTATGGATGAGGGGCCTGGTGCCATTCTGAGTTTTAAGACATTCCTTTCTTTCTTTTCTTTTCTTTTTTTTAAGAGGCTTTTCAGGGCAAAATTTAATAGTACGAAGAGGTTTACAAAAATAGATTGATACTATTTTGGGAAATAATACTGTAATGTTTTCTCAATTCAGTTTTGATAAATTGTACCTGAGTATACAAAAATTATTTCAAATTCAAACTTGACTATATAAAAAAGGGAGAGATGAAATGAATTCAGCTAGATGACAGATCTGGCAAAATATAAGAATGAAAACAATTCTGCCTAGGGCACTTATTTCATGTCCAGATGTAAACACCACTTTCAGTTGATAACTTACATTCCTCCCATCACAGGTTTGGAGTCGATCATGCAGTACAGAGCCACACAGTCAAAATCTCTGTTTTGACACAACACAAAAAAGTTGTTTCTGTTTCCTTAAACTGCCAACTGGCTGTCTATTTTTCTTTATCCCATTTATTTGTATTCCCAAGTTAACAAGTAGCATCAATAAGTATTATAGGTGAAGTGGGGTATTGCTGGATGAAAGGCTCTATAAGACGTCTTTACTGATCGAATCAGAAGGTTTATTGAGTTCAACCCTCACACCTTTTTCACCTGTTAGATATTTTACTTTAGCTCGCACTCTCTCATCTGCATCAAAATACCAAACAGTTATTGCGTACCTTGTAGCATATGCTGGTTGTACTTCATGAGGGTTGCGACGGTCAGACCAGAAAAACAGCAGTCTATCAAATTTGGGTTCAATGTCAGCAAACTGGGCTTTGCCTTCTGGAAAAATTCGAAGTATACCTCCACTTACCTTGGCATCCCAGTCTTTATTAAGATAATATATACATGTCACACATCTTCCATCTCCATTTGGATTATCGACATGACGTACGTAACCTGTTCCATTGCCAGGAGAGCAAGCAACCATGGCTTTCGTCCGGCCATTGATTTTGTAGTTGCCCAGCTTCCCGTTACAGTGGCGGATCAGGTCGTCCATGTTGTTCATGAGCAGCCCGATGGTTTCGCAGCCGGGCTCCCTGCCCTCGATCCAGGTGATCTTATCGCCTCGGATGTCCTTGGACGAGTCGCTCTTCTGGCTGACCAGCTGCCCGTCCGTGAACTTGCCCGTGTCATGCAGGGCGCGCACCTCGTCGCCGATCTGCTGGCCGGTCTCCTTGCCCAGGAAGTCGTCCACCATGCAGATGCCGTGCTTGTTCATGCAGGGTACGATGTACTCCAGCGCCAGCTTCAGTGCCGGCATCGGCTTCGTCTGCCCGTTGGGCCGCAGGCCGCCGTGGCTCAGCCCCTCGACCGGCGCGTTACTCAGCGGGTACAGGTTCGCCTTCTCCTGGTACAGCGACGGGCGGGCCAGCAGCTCCTCCTTTGCGGACTCCGCCTCAGCTGCCGCCGCTACCCAACCCTGGCTGCCGGGGGCTGTGCGGGGCAGGGACGCGGCTGCCACGGGGTCGGCCATAGGCTTGGCCTTCGCCTTGGCCGCGTCTCCGGAGGCCCGCGGACCCACGGCCTCGACGGCTCGGTCCCGGCGCGGCGCCGCCTTCCTGGCCTCCCTGGCTTCGGCGGCCCTGGGCGGCGGCGCGCGGCCCGGCTTAACGGTTGGCCCGTGCCGGGGGCAGAAACCTTCTCGCCGACCTGCCACACGAGCTTGTGCTTCTTCCAGTCCTGGCGCTGATGCTCCTTGCTGCAGTAGAAGGAGCTGTGGCAGTGGCTACAGCGCAGCAGGTTCTCCATCTTCCCGCACAGCTCGCAGTACTGCCGGTCTCGCTCGCTCGGGCTCGGCCCACCGGGCCCTCCGCTGTCATTGGCCATGGCGGCGGGGGTGGAGGCGGTGGCCGAGCAGGAGGGGTGGCGGCCGGACGGCCTAGCCTCGGGCCGGGGAGCGGGCGGAGCGGCAGGGGCCGTCACTGCGCCATGCGCCCGCCGCCCCTCGCCTCAGGAGACCGGCGCCCCGCTCCCTCGGCCCGGCCGCGTCCTCGTCCTTCGGTCGCGCCGCGCAGCGCCGGCCGCCGCCTCAGCGCCTCATCACCACTGCGCGGCGGACGGCGCCCTCCGCTCGGGCACGCGGGCCCGGCGCGCGAGACCCGCCGCCTTGGCCGCCGCCGCCTCAGCGATCTGGGCGGCCGGCTCAGCCGGCGGAGCAGCGCAGGGCGTGTGGGCGCCACTCGCTCTGCGCGCTCTGCACGTACACCCTCCTTTCTTTCTTAACAAACTGCTAGTGACTATATAACATCCAGCTAAAGACTAACAGGGGGGCACTCTTTCTGCCCCCTTCTGATGCCTATGTCAGAAACTTTCTCTATCTCCTTTATAATTAAACTTTATTACACAAAAGCTCTGAGGGATCAAGCCTCGTCTCTGGCCCTGGATTGAATTCTTCTCCTCCGGAGGCTAAGAATCTCGGAGTCTTTTTGTGGTTCAGCAACAACCTTTCATCTCCAGGACCCATTTACTTCAGATATGTAAGACGCCCCATCTATTAACCCTTTGATATCTCTGTCAACTCTGGAATCTTTTTTTGGTCTCAAGTCCAGGCAAAGTACAGCACTTGCAGGCCTGCAAAATGTAGCCCAACAGCTTCTGCAGAGTATTTGGCTGGCCTGATTTGATGACTCATTTTTGTAGGTATTTCCTGGGCTTGTGAATACAACTCACGTACTCAGGAGCCTTTGGGACACTGAAACAGCAATGCCAATACCTAGATCTTAGAGGATTTCCCAGCAGGTGTTCCACTTGAGGGGACAGGTGTGGACACAGGGCCCAGGGCAATTGTGCTGAACATCATCAGAGAAGAGGTGAGGACGGAGGGAGGGACACTGCATCTCCTCACCAGCCCATACCTCCACCACTGACTCTGAGATCAGGGAGGGAGGGACACAGGGTCTTCAGAAAGAAACGACCAGCACACTGAACACTACACACCCCACTGAGAGAATGAACTAAGCCACGAGGAATTGAACTGACAGATCATGCTCATAGCCTGGAGACTTAGTACTGTTGACATTTCTATAGTACCCAAAGCTAAGTAAAAATTCATTGCAACACCAATCAAAATATTAACATCATATTTTCATAGAAATGGGAAAACAAATCCAAAGATATATATGGAACTGCTAAGGACTCCACACAGACAAAATAACCTTGAAAACAAAGATCAAAATATCTCACCTCCTGATTTCAAAACACATTACAAAGATATAGGAATCAAACCTGTATGATACTGACATAGAAATAGATACATAGCCCTAAAGACCAGAATACAGAGCTCCAAGAAAAGTCACGGATACATGGTCAAATGAAATTCATCAAGGTTCTAAGACAATGGAATAGGAAAAGGGTAGTCTCTTCAATAAATCAGTACAATGAAAAGATAACCTACAGAAAAATTACAAGCCATGTATCAGATAAGGAGCTCATCCTCAAAATTCATAAGAAAATACCACAGCTCAAATGCAAAACAAATACAATATTAAAAAGAGTAAATAAGGGAGTTGAGCAATGTGCAAAGATTTAAACAGACATTTCGGGAACAAGACAGACAAATGACTAGCATACAAAGGAAAAGGTTTTCAACCTCACTAATCATCAGGGCAAAGTAAATCAACACCTCATGCCTGTTAGTTTGTATATTATAAAGGCAAAGAATTAACAGGTTAAGGCCATGATGTGGGGAGCTAGAACCTTTGTACACTGCTGGTGGGAATGTAAATTGTGTGGCTATGTTGTGGAAAACAGTAAAAGTTTCCTTATAAATGTATGAAAGGAGTAGCATATGATTCAGCAAACACAGTTCTGGATATATATACAAAGGAAATTAAATCAGTATCACAAAGAGATATCTGCAGTCCTAAATTCACTGCATCACTTTCCACAACAGCCTAGATACACAACCATCTTCAGGTAACAAGTATTCTGTGCCTGAGCTAACTTTAGATAACTGGGAGAAACTTGGTGCTCAAAATAACTGCTTAAGTCTCTTAGCCCCTTAGGGAGGATGAACACAATATTATAACTAAAGTAACATGTCCAAAGTGTCTTAGTCTGAAGTGATGCCACAAAGGTTTTACAGATAGGGAAGCCTCATATACACACAGCCCCAGCCAGGGTTTACCCCAATCTTGGAAAGACTGGGAGGAATCAAACCTGGGAAAGTTTTTTTTTTTTTTTTTTGGCTTGGAAAACAATGTTTTATATGGTAGAACTCAAATATACATACATCTATACATGAAAAAGGTATCATGAGTTATAAAGAAACATAACAGAAAAACATCTTTTCAGTCAATTAAGTTATCACTTAAAAGAAAATATTCTCCAGAATTCCCTGAAGAACCAATGGTTACGACTTGCTGCTTTCACTGCTCTGGGGCCCAAGTTCAATCCTGCCTCTTATCTGTAACCTTCTAAGGGTTTTAAAGATGTTATGAAACGATTAACATGTATAAGCACACCTACTATAGCAATTACCTCTAGACACACCTTCATGATATTTTAGGTTTAAAAAAAAGGAAACCCAATTTGTAAATCTATATATTCTATCATCTGATTTAAAGGAATTGCACTTCTGGTTAGTACTTATTTTTTTACCCCAATTCTTCGATATACTCTTCCAAAGTGTTCAAAAAAAATGGAGCAAAAAAATTCATAAGTTAAAATTCAACATATTTTACAGTCTGATTTACATATTTCTAGTTTTCAAAACATTTCACAGTATTGTTTTTTGCTTTGTAAGTATTCTTTGACAAAAGGTTAGGGAAGAAGAGGGGAACTGGCTTAAAAAAAACTCACAATTACTCCTACCACTCAAGACCATCATTGATCTAACTCAGAAATTCCCAAAGAAAGCCAAAACACTCCAGTTCTAGGCTATTATCTCATTCTATCATCAATGTGAATCAGTAAGTTTAATCACTACAGGAAGCTACCTACCTCTAAGTTTGGACTCTCAAAGGCTTAACACCTGGGGTGTTAATCATTCACTTGTGTCCTACTCTTTGCGGCTCCTCTGTCCATGGGATTCTTCAGGCAAGAACACTGCAGCGGGCCGCCATTCCCCTATCCAGGGCATCCTCCCAACCCACGCATCGAACCCAGGTCTCCTGCACTGCAGGCAGACCCCCCACCATGTGAGCCACCAGGGAAGACCACCTGGGGTAGAATACACTTCAATAAGATCGGTGATGGATCAAAGATGTGCTTTTTTCTGTACATATAGCGAGGACCTGTTAACTGACCCTCAGAAAACTAAATGTGCTAACACTTTGAAAATTCTTCATGTACCCCCTCAGGGATATGAGCACCTCAGTGTTAAGGTCACTGGTTATCATATCTTTATAGTGCATGAGAATCTAGATAGGTTTGAAAACTACAAACACATCCCACCTATCTAAGACATATCTGAATTAGTCCTAGAAGGGAGACAGGCACAAATTTGGGGAGGCTTACCTAGTGGCTCAGAGGGTAAAGCGTCTGCCTCCAATATGTGAGACCCGGGTATGATCACCTGGTTGGGAAGATCCCCTGGAGAAGGAAACGCAACCCACCCCAGCATTCCCGCCCGGAGAATCCCATAGATGGGAAAGCCTGGTAGACTACAGTCCACGGGGTTGCAAAGAGTCAGACACGACCGAACAACTTCATTTTTTTCTTTCCTTCCGCTCTCCAAGTAATGCTTCCCTTTGCAGATAGGGTTGAGACCCTTATACATACCATACCACCTGTATCAGTTCAGTTCAGTCACTCAGTCGTGTCCGAACTCTGTGACCCCATGAACCACAGCATACCAGACCTCCCGGTCCACCACCAACTCCCAGAGTCCACCCAAACCCATGTTCATTGAGTCAGTGATGCCATAGAACCATCTCATCTTCTGTTGTCCCCTTCCCCTCCTGCCATCAATCTTTCCCAGCATCAGGGTCTTTTCAAATGAGTCAGCTCTTTGCATCAGGTGGCCAAAGTATTGGAGTTTCAGCTTCAACATCAGTCCTTCCAATGAACACCCAGGACTGATCTCCTTTAGGCAGGACTAGTTGGATCTCCTTGCAGTCCAAGGGCCTCTCAAGAGTCTTCTCCAACACCACAGTTCAAAAGCATCAATTCTGTGGCACTCAGCTTTCTTTATAGTCCAACTCTCACGTCCATACATGACCACTGGAAAAACCATAGCCTTGACTAGACGGACCTTTGTTGCCAAAGTAATGTCTCTGCTTTTTAATATGCTGTCTAGGTTGGTCATAGCTTTCCTTCTAAGAAGTAAGCGTCTTTTAATTTCATGGCTGCAATCATCATCTGCAGTGATTTTGGAGCCCAGAAAAATAAAGTCAGCCACTGTTTCCCCATCTATTTGCCATGAAGTGATGAGACCGGATTCCATGATCTTAGTTTCCTGAAAGTTGAGCTTTAAGCCAACTTCTTCACTCTCTTCTTTCACTTTCATCAAGAGGCTCTTTAGTTCTTCTTCACTTTCTGCCATAAGGGTGGTGTCATCTGCATATCTAAGGTTATTGACATTTCTCCCAGCAATCTTGATTCCAGCTTGTGCTTCCTCCAGCCCAGCGTTTCTCATGATGCAGTCTGCATATAAGTTAAATAAACAGGATAACAATATACAGCCTCAATGTATTCCTTTTCCTATTTGGAACCAGTCTGTTGTTCCATGTCCAGTTCTAACTGTGGCTCCCTGACCTACATACAAGTTTCTCAAGAGGCAGGTCAGGTGGTCTGGTATTCCCATCTCTTTCAGAATTTTCCACAGTTTATTGTAATCCACACAGTCAAAGGCTTGGGCATAGTCAATAAAGAAGAAATAGATGTTT